CTTGCTCATGGAAGAAAAAAATAACTAGGGGTCAGCAGGTGGCATAATGATTAAGGCATTTAATTTCTACATGGCCCTCAATTCAACTTATGGACCCAGCAGGTTGAAAATCACACAAAGCACGTGTGCATGCATGCCCAAAATCCTGAGAGGAGGATACAGCAGAACGAATTTCAGCGTGGCCATCCCCCCCGGAGGTGATTTCTCACGTTCTCCTTCCACTCCCCCCAACCTATCTCCCTGCAAGGAGAACGTGAGAAATCACCTCCTGGGGGGATGGCCACGCTGAAATTCGTTCTGCCTCTCTGTCTCTCTGTCTTTCTGGTGAGCGTACACGCCCTATATCAAAAACCTCTCAAAAAAATTGTAAAGAAATTCAGTCAAGAAGAAATAAAAAACTTGAACAGTCTTATATATAATTAATGAAATTGAATTTGTAGTTAAAACCTACAAGATTAATTTGGGCTCTGTGCCTAAAATAAAAGCTTTATTTTTGGAACTAGCACAGCTCTCTAGACACTGAGAGACAAGGTTTTTCTTTTTCATTCTTGGCATTACTTTTCCAGATTGTACTCTTTTTTTGTCTTCTAAGTGCCAACTTTCAACATATTCGAACACAAAAAGATTGACTCTCGGGTTTTTCATTATTGCTTTGCTGATGACCATGGTAAATTCCTTCACATTTCTCTTAAACTGGAGATAATAAATGAAAATATTCAGGAAAACAAAACAAAAAAAGTTCCTTTCCTATGAAGAAAACTCCAAGTATAGATGGTCCCACTGGTAAATTCTAGCAAATATTTAAGGACAAAAATAATATCAGTTCTACATTAATTCAACATTATCCCAACGAAATGCTAGCAGAAATTTTTAGAGAAATTGACAAGCTGATTTTAAAATTGAGGCCAGTAATGTGGCATGGTGGTTAAGGCACTGGACCCCTACATGGCCAGCTACAGTTTGAGTCCCAGACCCAGTGGTTTGAAAATCATGCTGGGTGCATGTGCGTGCATTCCCAAAATCCCAAGAGGAGAATGGAGAAGAGATTGTAGCGTGGCTGTTCTCCTTGAGAAATGCTTTCTCACTTTCCTTCTCTCTTTCTCTCTCCAGCAAGTGCATACACCCTATCACAAAAAATACTCAAAAATTAAATTTATATGAAAATGCCAAGGACATACAATAGCCAGAGCAATTTTTAAAAATAATTATTTATTATTATTACTTAATTTGCTATAGGGCACATGTGCTCACCAGAGTGGAGAGAAAGTGAGAAAGCAAGACACCAGGTCCAAGACTCAGGCCACGGTAGGCCATGTGGGAGTCCAATGCTTCAACCACAATACCACCTGCTGGCCCCCAGAGAAATATTTTTTAAATTTGCTAGAGGGCACATGCACTCACCAAAGAGAGACAGAGAGAAAGAGGAAAAGTGAGAAAGCATCCCTCAGGTGCCATGCTGCAATCCCTTCTCTCCCATTCTCCTTTCGCAATTTTGGGCACACATGCACACACCTGGTGTGTTTTTTCAAGACTCACTATAAAGTCATAGTTACCAAGATAGTGTAGTATTGCACAAAATGCCTAGGTATTATCCTACTGAAGATATGCCTCGAAAGCTATTGAACCACAGCAAAAACCCCTTCAGTCAGCATGTGAGAAAGCTGCGAGCTAACATCACTCCTGGGACCATTCTGATCATCCTCACTGGACACCACAGAGGCAAGAGAGTGGTTTTCCTGAAGCAGCTGAGCCGTGGCTTGCTACTTATAACTGGACTGCTGATTCTCAATAGAGTTCCACTGCATAGAACATACCAGAAATTTGTTATTGTCACCTCCATGAAAATTGATACTAGCAAAGTAAAAATCCCAAAGCACCTTGCCGACACTTACTTCAAGAAAAAGAAACTGTGGAAGCCCAGACACCAGGAAGGTGAGATCCTCGACACAGAGAAGAAGAAATATGAGATTTCAGAGCAGCGCGAGATTAATCAGAAAGCTGTGGACTCGCACATTTTACCAAAAATTAAAAGCTGTTCCTTAGCTCTAGGGCTACCTGCAATTCGTGTTTGCCCTTACAAATGGAGTTTATCCTCACAAATTGGTGTTAGAGATTTTTTGCCAAGAACCTAATTAAATAACTGATCATATATATATATAAAAGATAGTGTAGTATTGACATAGAGATAAACATACAAATCAACAGAATAACCCACATATCTGTGAATATACAAAAACAACACTGAAGCACACCCTTTAAATGGGTGCATTAGATCTCAACAAAGCTGTTAAAAATTAGTAATGTTGTAAGTTGTTAGCTGTGACAATGTGCCATAGTGAGATGTTAATAGGGAGAAACGTGGGACCAGCAGATGGCATGGCAGTTAGTTACGTCACTGCACTCCCATATGGCTGACAGCGGTATAAGTCCTGGACCTGGCAGCCTGAAAATCATGCCGGACACATGTGCCTGTGTGCACAGGGTCCCAGGAGAAGAGAGACAGGATTGTGGCATGGCCATTCCCCCTGGGGGTTGATTTCTCACTTTCCCTCTCACTGTGTCTATCTCCCTTCCCAGTGAGGACACATGCCCTAAAGCAAAACCACTAAAAAAAAAAAAAAAAAAAAAAAAACAGGGAGAAATAGTGAACTCTGCACTATTTTTGTAAATCTATTAATATATAACTTTTCAAAAATATAAAATGTTTACTCAAGAATTATAAATTGTATGGGAACCAGCAGTTAGCATAATGGCTATGTCGCTGGACTCCCACATAGTCGACTGCGGTTTGCGTCCCGGACCCGGTGGCTTGGAACTCAAGGAGGTCACATGTGTGTGCGTGCCCAAGATCCCGAGAGGAGAATGGAGGAGAAGGGATTGCGGCATGACCATCCCCCCTGGGGGGTGATTTCTCGCTTTCTGTCTCTATGTCTCTCTTTGTCTGTCTGGCAAGTGCATGCGCCCTATAGCGAAAACCTCTCCAAAAAAAAAAAAAAGAATTATAAATTGTACACATATACTGTGAAGAGTATATAGACACACACACATATATTATATACACATGTATATAATATATCCACACATACATAAAGGGACTTCATTTGTAGGAAAAAATGGAATTAAAATACAAGTTTTAAAATCTCCATTTTTTCATAATACATTATCAACACATATATTTAATATGCATTTTCATGTCTTTTTATAACACACATTTTTACTTTTTGAGAGGTTTTTGCTATAGGACACATGTGCTCGCCAGAAAGAGAGACAGAGAGACAGAAAGCGAGAAATCGCTCCCTCCCATGGTCACACATCAATCCCTTCTCCAGTCTCCTCTCAAGATCTTGGGCATGCGTGCACATGTGCCTGGTACGAGTTTAAGCCACTGGGTCCGGGACTCAAACTGTGGTCGACTACATGAGAGACCAGTGACATAGCCATTACATCAACTGCTAGTCCCTATAATTGACATTTTCAATGAACTCTTTGAAGACTTCATATATATGTGTAGAGTTCTAAAATTAAAAACAGGGGCCAGTAAATGGTAGGTATAGTGATTATGTTGCCGGACTCCCACATAGCTGACCATGGCTTGAGTCCTGGACCTGGCAACTTGAATCTCATGTACATGCATACCCAAACTCCACAGAGGAGAATGGAAAAGGGATTGCAGCATAACCATCACCCATGGAGGGTGACTTCTCACTTTCTCCATCTCTCTGGAGAGCACACATGCCTGATAGCAAAAAAAATCTCTCAAAATAAATAAACAAAATTAATTAAATAAATAAAAAACAAAGGAGACCAGCAGGTAGCATGGACATTAAGGCACTGGATTTCACATGGCTGACCGCAATTCAAGTTCCAGATCCTATAGCTTGAAAACCACACCAGGCGTGTGTGTTCATGCCGAAGTTCCTAAGAGGAGTGGAAGGGATTGCAAGCATGACCATTCCCCATGGGGAGTGATTTCTCACTTCCTCTGCTTCTTTCTGATGAGCATGTGCCTCTCAATAAAAACCTAATAATCAAAAGAAAACAAAACACCCTGGAGGGGCCAGCAGGTGGCATGGTGGTTAAGGCACTGAAATCCCACATGGCCAACTGCAGTTTGAGTCCTGGACCTGGCAGCTTGCTTTTGCACTTTCTTCCACATACTCTCTTTCTCTGGTGAATGCATATGCCCTATAGCAATTTAAACCCTGGACCTGACGGCTTGCTTTCTCTATCACTCTGATCAAATAAAAATGAAAAAAAAAAAAACCCTGAAGTTAAATAAAATAATTTTTTTAAAAAACATTTTTTTTTTGAGAGGTTTTTGCTATAAGGCACATGCACTTGTCAGAAAGAGACAGACAGAAAGCGAGAAATCACCCCCAGGGGGGATGGCCACACTGCAATCCCTTTTCCTCCACTCTCCTCTCGGGATCTTGGGCACGCACACACACGTGCCCGGCATGAGTTTAAATCACATGGGGTCTGGGACTCAAACAGTGGTCGGCTACATGGGAGTCCAGCGACATAGCCATTGCGCCAATGGCTGGTCCCAAATAATTTAAATAATTCTTAAAAACAAACAGGGACATAGCGTAATGGCTGTCGCTGAACTCCCATGTAGCCGACCACGGTTTGAGTCCCAGACCTGGTGGCTTAAACTCATGCCGGGAACGTAAGTGTGCATGCATGCCCAAGATCCCGAGAGGAGAATGGAGAAGGGATTGCAGCATGACCATCTCCCCTGAGGGGTGATTTCTCGCTCTCTGTCTGTCTTTCTGGTGAGTGCATGCGCCCTACAGCAAAACAAAAAGACACACCTCTCCAAAAAAAACCACACACACTGACAAGAGGCTGTCACAGTCCTAAGTATTGACAGGGGCTTGAATAGGGATGCAGCCACATGGAGGAAATACTTAGTGATCACTGGATGGTTTATGGTGGGGACAGGCAAGAGTCTGCATGGGTAGCTTTTATGGGGGTTGTAACAAATTACTACAAACATAAAGGCTTAAAATCACAAATTTATTATCATAAAGCTCTAGAGGCTAGAAATCCAAATGATTTTGACTGGGCTAGTCACGTCAGGGTGCTGCACTTTGTGGTGGGTCTCGGGAGACTGTTTTCTCCTGCATCCTTGGTGCGTGGCTCTCTCCTCCCTCTTCACAGCCAGCAGCGTGATAGCCTCCTTTTCCTTGCTAACCTCCTGACTCTGACAAAGGCCTGTGCAATTACAGCTCAATAATCCAGGGCGATCTCCCCATCTCAAGATCCTTAACTTTATGGCAACTGCAAAGTTCCTTTTGCCATGCAAAGTAACATATTCACAGGTTCTGGGACTCAGGACATGGACATCTTTGGGGGCCATTATTCTGCCCACCACAGGGTGTCACTGGCAAGGAGCCCTCAGTAGGAGGGTATGAGGGCAAATGAGGTCAGCTATGGGGAGCCTGAGGCTGAGGTACCTGTAGGACATCAGGGTACTGCCCGTTAGCTTCCATCCATTCATCAAATACTTACAAGCACCGCTAAGACACAGTCATAGGCATATCAAGGTGAACATTGTATTTCACTGGTCTTAAGACACCTGCTTTCACTCTGGAACACTTCTAACATCTTTCAATCAAGGGCACCTTCCATCAGTTAACTGTCAGGATTGTTTTCTCAGTGACACGTAACATACAAGCATCTCAGCCCTGATGGCTTCTTGTAATGAATGAAATTGTAGTCTGCACAGGCACTAGAGCAGGCCTCACTAGAGCATCGAGTACTCACTCTCACCCCGTTTTCCTGAGTACCTCGTCTGGTTCCTTCCACCCTGAGGCTCTTGCACCCTACAGCCTGGTACCCAGATCCTTGTAACTAATGAACTGCTCAGTGACCACAGCAGGCCTGGGAGTATCCTGCTCCTCAGGTATGCCTCAGTGATGGGAGCCAGGCCCTGTGGTTCTCAGCCTGGATACACATTGGAAACACCCAGGGAGCTGATAAAAGACTCAAGTCCAGGCCACATCCTAGAACAACGTAATCAGAACCAGCCATCCCAGCCCTTCACATCTCCATTCTGAGGCTCTAACCTCTGGTGCATAGAGGGGCATACTTTGCAGCTCCCCAAAAGATGTCGGTGGACAGCTAAGACAATAAGCAGACTAATCAAGCTAATTTGATTTAAGTGCAGAGAGGCGTAAGGCAGCACTGGTAGTTGGTAGAGGGTGTAAGTTCAGACTACAGAATGATATCTATCTCCCATGCTGCCCTCAACCAGACTCTGAACTCCTGAAGGGGACCGATCCAGTTACCTGTTTCCTTAAGGAACTAGCCCTACGGGAGGCACATTGTAGGAGCCCAGGAAATACAAGCTGCAGGGCCTCAAAGGCCTGGCAAAAAAGGCTTTGTGCCAAGAAAGCTCTGGGAAAGGAGCCCATTGGGTCAAGGCCAGCCCACTGATTCAATGTGACCTCCAGTGAGTCACTGTCCCTCTCTATGCCTGTACAATGCATGGCTGGCCCAGGTGACCCTGAAGGACCTACAAGGGCCTACACTGAGTGGGTACTTCACCAAAAACTGTGGGAACTACTATGAGGGATAGAGTCAGATGAGAAATCTAAGGGACTCGGGATGATCTTGTCCCACCCATCCCATCTATGTCTCATGTCTAAGAATCTGAAGAGAGGGTAAGAGGCTTCCTGCTCACCCCCCAAAGGTACCAAAGTCTTTCAGATGTCCCAGCCCTTCCAGGCCTAAAACTCTCCATTCTGAGGCTCTAGCCACTCTCCTACTGTGGCTACAAGGACAGAGACTCTAAGGACCTGAAAGCTAAAGACATTTCAACAGCAAAACAACAAATGCAGAGAAGACTGGAAGATAGTGTTAACGAAGGGACTTTTACATGGCAAGAAGAGTCCAGGTGGGGACACCACAGGACATAACAGACCCTGGCTGTGCCTCTAAGCATGGTAAACAAAGGTGAGGTGGTTCAAGATAGCAGAGAGAAACTCTCAAGGAGGAACTTCATGGAAGGAAACAAGTGAGGACCATGGCAAGTCCAAAGGGGCTGTGGAGAAAGCCCCTGGCTTCTGGCCGTTAGCACAGCCACGGCCCTAATACAGCACTAAAGGCTTTTATTGGGAAAGAGAAATTGACTTCAATATCCTCTGTGCTTGAAGCAGTTGGGGCCTCCTCCACAAAGTCCAGGAAAGAAAGGACCACCATTGGGCCCTCAGCAGGCTCAGGTGTAGAGGTCAAAGTCAATGCGCTTGGAGTTGTAGAACTGACCACCAGGGGGGTCCAACTTCCGGCAATAAACACCGTCTGGGAAGTAGCCTTCATTCACCCAAGTCTGCAGGAAGAGAGGGAGAAGTGGGAAAGGACTGGTAAAGGTGGGGGAGGGGAGGGACAAGGCAGAACAATGTAGAAAGGGACTTACCTGCATCTGGGCACTGGTGAAGGGCCCATACAACTCGGCATCCCCTGTGTTCTCCCACTTATATTCCCACATCACGTCCATCAGACCATCTCCTGGCGCCTCTGCTTCTAAAATAACAGACAAGACCATTTGGGTCTCAAGTGCCCTGACTCTTATCCACAACATCCCTCCTCTGCCCTCCAAGCTCACCTCCTTTCTGTGTAGGGGTCGGGTTTTCCAGATCCCCCTCTGCTACTTCCTCAGCAAACATGTCCAGGGAGGGTGGGGGTGTGGAGTCGTGGGATCCTTGAGTCCGACACCCCAATCCCTTTAGCCGCATGGCCAACCGTTCCCTTGTTTCCTGGTATACACCAAGGTTGCCTCGGGCCACCATCTGGTCAGCCAACCCAGATAGCCGGTCTAGGCGCTGGGGGGAACTGGGTCGTCCAGGTCCCTTACTGCCCCCTTTGCCTCCTCCTCGGGCGCCCAGACGCCTCAGTGCCCCAGCCACTGTCTCTCTCGGCAATAGGAGCTCTAGAAGACCCTCTAGGAGGGCTTGGGCACTCATCGGTGTCTGGCCCAGGGTGTCTTCCTCTTCTGAATCTGAAGCCTGGTGCTGATCAGGTGGCCGCTCTCTGATCTTCACCTGTCATGGGAACACAAAGTTATTTCCTACAAAAAGCCATGGGACCTGGGCCTAGCCTTGACACCCCCAGGCCCCAGGCATGCCATCCCCTGGGCCACACCCAGTCAATGTTGTCCAACCAGCTGTCTCGGATCTGAGCATCTCGGTTCAGGAAGTAGTTGCCATCTGCATCAAAGTGGCCTTCCTCCATTTCTTCCTGCAGGTTGAAGGGTGTGATCCGCACACCCCCCTCACTGGGGAGCGTGGCTGCTTCCTGACCTGCACCAAAGACAGTTGCCCCACACTAGGCATACAAAAAAGACAGGAGAGACCCTTGCTCCATGTCTCCAGAAGCCCAACTTGCCAATCCAGCAGTCAATTCTTGGGTGTAGCTCACCTTCTACATCCTCTGAAGCCAAGATGTCATATTTGCTGGATCCTTCCTCCTCATCATCCTCCTCATCACTGTCCAATGAATGTTTGCCTTTGAAACGGCTTCCAGGACCCCCTGTCCCAGCTACAGGGTCTACCAGCTGTGAGCAAGAGTCAGCAAGTCAAGAAATGAAGATTTTTAGCTACTTCCCAAATACTCCAGGACCTGGACCAAATAGAAAATTCTCCAAACCCAATTCCTCAAAGAACCCAAGAAAATGAATCCTTTCTTTGTCACCCAGCTTTTTTCTTCAGGCCTCCAATTCCTCTCTTTCCCCTTGCTCCTTCCCAGAACGCAGGGATCTAGCCCCTCACCTTCTTCTTGGGGGTACCAATTTCATCCTCGTCATCTTCATCTTTTACACCTTGAAAGGTCACTTTTCTCTTTGACATGACGGATCAGAAGGGCCTTCCTCAAGCAGAACCAAAAAAAAGATGTAGAGTAAGGCAACTAGGTGAGGAGGGGACCTGCTGCGAGAGGGCCCCAAGCACAACAAGCATTTCTCCTGGTTCAAGCCTTGTCCAGCTTAGGAGAGGAGAGAACACTAAAGCAGAGGCCGAAGCTGGCAGCCGGGACGCCCCTAGGGACTTGGTTTGGCATCTGAGTTAATGGAGTGAAGACAGAAGAGAGGACGTGCAGAGGACCCTCCTTTCCCCTCGTAGATTCCATGTGTAGCCCCAACCTGGACGAGAGGAGACAGGCTCCCCCGCGTGGTCACCCCCATTTCTAGTGCCCGTAGTCTGGGCCTACGAGGCTCGGCGGGCTGACAGCCAACCCCTCACCCCCAGCTCCCTCAGAGCCTGCGGCGCCCTGGCGGACCCAGGACCTGGCGCTTTGTCCGCCCGGCTCCTCCCCACGCCCAAATCCCAGTTCCGCGAGGTGACCTCCAACTGTCTTGGGTAAAAATCTGGGGGGCAGCAGAACCACGGGGATTCGGGCCATGCGGTCCTCGCGCGCTCACCTGGGAATCCAGGGTCCGCGGCGTAAGAAGAGATGCTTTCGCCAGGGCTACATCCGGGGCACTCGGCCC